CATTTCAAGACTTCTAGATACGCCACTGCCGAACGCCATTTCGCCGAAAGACTATTGGCCGAAAGGACTTTGGCTGAAGACCAATGGCGTAGCCAAGGGGGGTGGGGTGGCAGAGGGGCAAGGGCCCCACAGTTTACAGTACAACAGGCCTATACATATTGGCAATCACGGGCATTTATACAAACTCACAGTATTCTCACACACTTTTCTTGTTGCAACACAATGGCTAAAGTACAATCCCGTTCCCGGTTATTCATGTTTCTAAAATTAACTGTAATTCATGTTTCTAAAATTAACTGTAATTCGTATTAAGATACAAAAAACACAACTAGTCTGGAAGTTTTACTGATGTACCGGGAAAAAAATGTGAACAAAGCTTTTTTGGTATCGATCGATACGCATGGGTGTCCTCTTTAGCATGCGAAAACTCCTCTTCACTCTTCCTTGCGGAAAAAAAGTTATAGTCATTTTAGTGAATCCCCCATTTTTCAGTTAAACTTCAATGATTTCTCATAGATTTGATAATAATCTAAGCATACCTACATAATTTGTAGGCTGTCGTAACTATGAATCTATATCAGGTATAATATATCTATAGGAGACCCAGAAGGAACCTGTATGCCTATGGTGCGATTCTGGGAGAGGTACGATGGGGAGGGGTACGATGTGAAAGGGGAGGGGAAAGCCCTCAGTTATAGTTAAGAATTCTAGCATGAAGTTTATCATCTTAATAGTATTTAATGCAAGGGGATTTGCGTCAATGGTGGGGTGCCAAGGGTCCTCCCTCCCATGTTTGGGTTATTTGATAGGCATCAAGCTACCATAATATGACTACATGTATGTTTTAATGTCGAAATTAACTTCCAAAACCGAACATTTTTCAATAAAACAACGAGAAATAAAGAGCATGCAATGTAACCAACTAACTTATTTTCAAATCCGTTTTCCATTTTATATTATTAAAAAAAATAACACCGTATTACATTACAATACTATCCTCCCATCACAGTGAAATCCAGGTATTTCATAATCCATGTGATTGTGAACTATTAACAACAAAATTACGAATAAGAATAATGTCTTACTGTAAATTGTAGGGCAACCAATTTGTGACATTATGCTACGATAAGAAAACACAACGTCACCGGGAACGTCACAGCTTATAATAATTCAATGTAAAGTTCTAAATTTTTGAAATTTTGCCTGCATTCTGTAAACCATGAGGTTGCTTGCCCGATCAAGATGTCTTCCAAGCATCATGAGGATATCCAAACGAGCATTTGTCAGTAACGTAAACCATTAATTAGTCTCATTTAATGGGGCGGATCCATAATTTTTCAAACGAGGGGAGAGGCATTTGTATTCTTTTTTTCTTTTTCTTATTTTATTTCAATACATAACATTACTATGCACTGACATTTAAAAAATAGTGTCAAAACGCTGTTTTGACACTGTTCTACTGACGTTCCAATTCTAACTTTGCCGATTGCTTTGCAGACGAATCGGGGTGCCATCCTGATTGAGTCAGGGCCGCTAGCAATGCACCCTGATTCGTCTGCAGCGCAATCGGCAAGGTTGAACCAGGCTCAACCTTTCCAGTGACTGTCGCCGATAGGTTGAGCTATTCTATGGAAAGCTATCGGGGCGATAGCGTGTACCGATTGGGATGGGGTCTATACCGCACACCAGGTATATAAAATATGCTAAAACAGGCTTCGGTCATGTTCGATCTCCATAACCGCGCTACGTCTGTTTGGAGTCTACTGTTTCATTTCGGGTCGCTAGGGGGTACAAATGTATGAGGCGCCAAGTGTAAATTTATTATTTAACACAATTATTTATATATAATTAATTATTTAACATATAATGGAATAGATCACCCATTATAATGCATTTACGTCTAAAAAATTATATGTAAATAATTGCGTTAGCGTTTCATTATTTATTTATAATTAGTTTACTGATTACATTATATATATAAATAATGAAAGGCTAACCAAACATTATTTATATAATGAGGTTACTGGCTTCATTATATATAAATGAGGAAGGGGGTAACACATCATTTTATATAAATAATGAAAAATAACTTCCAATTATTTATATATAATAAGTTCACTGATTCCATTATATATAATGAAAAGGTAACAAATCATTATATATAAATAATGAAAAGTAACTTACAATTATTTATATATAATAAGTTCACTGATTTCATTATATATAAATAACGAATTGACTTCAAACTCATTATTTATAAATAACTGTCGCAAAATATTATATGTATATAATGCTTGGACTTCAAACTCATTATATGTAGGCCTAATGCACACGTGTTATCGTGTCAATGTCATTATATCTAAATAATGGTTTTTACTCCCAATTATATATAAATAACCATTGAAGTCGAGTGCCATTATATATAAATAATGACATCGTAGAAGGCATGGTTTATAAATAATTCGTTATGCAAATTACGAAGTAATAAATATTCACCAGTGCTCTAAATTTACAATTAGGGCCTATTCACCTATCGAAAATGGCAAAGCAAGGGATACAGCAGATTATTGAATCCAGTGGTGGCGCCAATAATAATAATAATAATAATAATAATAATAATAATAATAATAATAATAATAATAATAATAATAGTAATAATAATAATAATTATAATAATAATATTAATAATAATAATAATAGTTCAATTAGACTAATTAAAAATGTTTGTTTGGATCAGTGGCGTAGAAAAATATTTTTCATTGGGGGGGGGGAGATGATTGCCGTGTTAGCCAGTGTCGTAACAGGCGCGGGGGGCAGGGGGAAACTGCCCCTCCTTTGACGGTTTTTACCGGGCTGCCCAAGCCATCGTACCGGGCTGGGTAATAAGAGAAAAGAAGGAGGGGAGGAAAAGAGAAAGAAGAGAAAAAGAAAAGGAAAGAAAAAGAGAAGAGAAAAATAAAGACAAGAATAAAAAGGAAGATATCATAATGACCAGACTCACAACACCCTGCAACCCCTTCTCCACTTCAAAAACTCCTTTGATCTATGCTGCCCGATGGCGTAACCACTGGGTGACAAGGGAAAAAAATCTATCTTTGAAAAATCTTCCCCACCCCTTTATAAATGCCCTTTCATCCCCTGAAACTGCCTAAAAACCTCAAATTTTTCGCGCATTTCGTGTTAACATGCCCCAATTTCCTCTAAAAATTGCACATTTTAGGGAGTTTTGATCAATTCCAACGAAATTAGAATTAAAAACACAGGGGGACAAGGGGAAAATATCCATCTTTGGAAAATCTTTCCCTACCCTTTGACAAATGCATCCTCTGAAAGTGCCTAAAATTCTCAAATTTTTTGCGCGCATTTCTTGTTACGGTAGGCCAATTTCCCCTATA